CTCGCGCGCCGTCGGCGCGGGGTCGGGCGCGCAGCCGCCGTGGTGGTCCCCGTCGTCGGCGCGCTGGCACGGGCCCCGAACGCCGAGCCTGACGAGATGCAGCTCCTGGCGCAGGCTCTCCTTCGTCGGGGAGGGCGCCAACGACGACGACGACGACGACGACGATGACGACGACAACGACAACGACCACAAAACGACGACGACGACGACGACGACAACGATGACGACGACAAGACGACGACGACAAGAAGACGACGCCGACCCCGACGCCGCCGCCGCCGACGACGACCCCCCGCCAAACATTGCGGCGCTTCGACTTCTTCTATGCGGGGGCCCCCAGACCTCTCGACCCCTTCCCCAGGGTCGGCTTTTCAGCCCGAGTCCTCTCTTGACGGCCCCGAGGCCGAAACCGGTCTCCAGAGGCAGAACAAACTATACGGCTGACCGGCCGCCGTTCCGAGGCGCCAGATGCCTGAGCCATGCCAGGCCCCGGCCCCCGACACCCTGCCGGGAAGATCAGTCCGCGTCGACCCGGGAAATCGGATCGAATCGACATGTGCGCGTCGGATGGGCCTGCCTCGCCACGGATTCGAACCAGATCGGCTGCGCCATGCGAGCATCGGACTGCATCGAATCATCGGACAATCGGAACCGAATTGGCTCGGCCCAGCCGGAGCCGACATCGCATCGGACCGATCGGATCGACGTGGGCCCTGGCCGGTGGCTCCATATACCTCCGACGTGTGTGTTCCATCGACCTGGAGCCGGCGATAGGCCGGCGATAGGCCTCCGATAGCGAATCCGACCGTTCCCGGGCGCGTTGGGGCTGTCGGGCCCTTCTCGGCGATGAGCTGGCGCTTGAGGGTCGATGCACGCGCCCCTCAGCCTACCGCCTACCCCCCATGGGCCCCCCAGACTTTGCACCGAAAGTCCCGACCCCCCTTCCGTCCTGGATCCGGAGCCGTCTGATGGCCCCCGGGCCCGGAGACGGCCCCCGAGGGCCGACATCGAGGACAACCGACAACCGCCGGTTGAACACAACATGCCGTCGGAGATCTGGGAAAGCCCTGACGTTGCATCCGCCGTACTCTGGGCGAATTCGCAAGCAGGGCGGATATTTCCGACTCGCTGTTCAAGCTCCTTTGCTGTAGATCTCCGCCCTGCTTCGCCGCCGCCGTTTCCGCCATACGTTTTGCTTTCGCTGACCCCCGTCTTTTTGCAGAATCAAACAAACTACGGCGGATCCGAAGTCAGGGAGGCGCTGCTCCATGGACCTCTCCCGAAGCGCGTTCTGACCGAGCCTTCGAGAAGAATGCAGCCGAGGCGACGAGAGCCCTCCAGGACGAGCAGCGGTAGCGGTATCTCTTCCTCCCCTGGGAGGGGGGGAGCCCCCGGTGGTCTTCGGGTCTTAATTTCGGCCACCGGCTGCCGTTCGGGACCATCCGGGCACGACTGGAACGCCCTCGGCGAGGCGCAGCCGCTGGCAGGCATCCTGAGGCCGAAGCACCGCCGAGAACCGGCGCAAAACGTGTAAAGTTTACATGCTTTTCAAGGCCTCTTCTTCCTGTCTCATGCGTTCCTCCCTCTCCTTCTGTGCGTTTTCCTCCTTCTCCTCCTCGGCGCGGTGCACCCGATCAATCATCTTGGAACACAGGGACCCTATCTTGGCACTCGCGATGGAAGGCGCAATGGCAAAACTCACATGCTTTTCGCCGGCTCTCGGCCTGAGCCTGCCGGAGTGTGCCACTGAGGGCCCCGGTGCTTCCAGTGTCCCGGGCTGGAGCGCGTGCCCCCCGAGCGCGCCCCCGGAGCGTGCTCGTGGTGCTCTTCGGCCGGGAGCGCGCCCCCCGAGGGGCTCGACGCCTGCGCTGCGCACCTGGGGCCCCTCCGGAGGGGACGGAGCGGCTCCTGCCCCTCCGTCAGCTCCCACACCTTCGCCTGGAGCCTGCGCATGGACACCCGCAGGGCGCCCTCCCCCGCGTCGGCGGCCGCCCCCGCCGCCGGCGGCGGCGGCCAGGGCGCGGGCACCGAGGGGCAGGGGGCCGGCAGCTGGGGAGGAGGAGGAGGAGGAGTAGGAGGAGGAGGAGGCGGAGGAGGAGGAGGAGGAGGAGGAGGGAGAAGAGGGGAGAAAGGAGGGAGGAGGAGGAGGAGGAGGAGGAGGAGGAGGAGGAGTAGGAGGAGGAGGAGGAGGAGGAGGAGGCGGAGGAGGACGAGGAGGAAGAGCAGGAGAAGGAGGAGGAGGAGGAGGAAGGAAACTGGTTCAGCGTGGAGGTCTACACCTTCTTGCACGCCTTGTGCCTTCGCGCCTGATCTCGGAAGCGCGTTTCAAGCTGCTGTGTCGGAGACCCAGGGAGGAGAAGACGGAGAGATACAGCAGCAGGGCCGTGCATCGCACACCACTGCGTCTCAGCGGTGACGTTCAGACTCTTCTGGCAAAACGGCATCCGAAAGCGAAGCAGTCCACACGGTAAGAACCTCGGTGTGCGCCGGGACTGCATGATGCAATACGCGGTCAAGTGCAAGATCCATCGTGACCGACTTATAATAAAGCGTTCTGGAAACAGTATGGTACTTCTGGTATAGTTCATGTATGTGCCGCGTGGGAAGCCAGTAACGGCCGCTCCATCATTACGTAGAAGTCGCCCCGAGAGCTGGTCGCAACATCGGCTGGATTCGCCTCCTGGCCCTGCGGAGCCGTAGAAGACGTTTGGCACGCTTTGCCGACGTCTTTAAGCGATCCTTCCTCACGCTCTGAACAGCAGCTCGCCAGGGTCTCGCAGCGTAATCGATGCCAAAGTTTGAGGGGCCGCAAGTGGCAACGCGGCCTGTGAATTTGACAGGCGCCTGGGAGACAACATCCTTTGCTAGGTCTAAGTCGGGCCTGTCCTCCTACAGGGGGGGTGGACGAAAATCCAAAATATGATCAAAACCAGCACACCTTAAGTGGTTAAACATCATCGAGAAATCGTCCCCAAACTATTTTTAGACTATTTTTGAATATTCACCCTGTAGAGGGACAGGCCCGACTTAACGCTAGGTCAAGATCCGTGGTGAGAAGAAGCAACTTCCTGGGATCCAGAGACACGGGTAAACCGGCCGCCAAGATGGCCTGGACAAAGTCAATGGCGGCGTTGGGTCATGTACGATCACGAATTGTCAGGTTCTAATTGTATTAAGCTGTAGATCGTCAGCTACGACACCATAGAAAACGACATAGAAAACATCGGTGTGCAACAGGGTTTGCTTGTCAAGGTCCGTGATCAGCAGATCAGCATGGCCCTTATCAGCGGATCAGCAAAACCGCATCCCGCCAATCATGTTCGTAGCATGCGCTGTGCGCCCTGGCATGCCGTAAGCAGACACTAGCCTGGGTCCCCGGTACAGAGTGATCAGAAACAGGAGTAGGAACAAGTTAAAGTACACTTTAGATGCTATCGCCACGAGAATGCCCTGAAGGACATGTTCAAACGCTTTGATTATGTCCAGGAGCAGACTGCAGGACACCCAACCACGTAAATGAGCCAACTCTGTGAGGACAGCCTGTTTCCATACTCACTGAGTTCTGCAGTGCCACTCAAACACGGGCAATCATGATCTTGAGCTCACTGGGATCTCCGAGTTCGGCGAATCCACCGGGTGCAAGACCACACCGATGTCGAGAATATGGCGACAGGACGATCACCAGGGGCAGCCTTGGGGATTCAAGACAAGAGGATATGTGTGAACACTGGGGGTACAGTTCTCAAGGGTAACATTGCGCGCCATTGGGCCACTAAGGACTGGAATGATGAGTCCGACAGCTGTTCATGATGCCCAGGGCGAATGTGCCTACAGCGCCCCTTGGGGGACGTCTCCCGTTGGCATCCGTGGTAGACTTCCCCCGCGGCTTCTACAGGCTCCAGTTTGATCAACCCCCACAGGGGCAGCCGCCCCGGGGGGGGGGGGATGCCGGTGTCCGGCCCGGGACTCTGGTGCCTGCAGCCCGAAGCAGGAGGGGGGGGGAGGGGGTGGCAGGGTGGCACCCAGCTTGGATCCGCATGCCGCCCGAGGGACTCCGAGGGACTCCGAGGGACTCCGAGCGCAGAGCGCAGTAGGAGGGACTCCGAGGGGCTCTGACGAGACGGCCTCTTCGATGGCCCCTCGCACGCGGGCAGAGGGGCTCGGGAACCGGCGCGCCGAGGCTCGTGGCAGGAGCAGGGGGGGCAGGCGAAGGAGAAGCTGGGGTAGGAGGGGGGAGGAGAGGTGGTGGAGGGGGGAGGAGGAGGAGGAGGAGGAGGAGGAGGAGGAGAGGAGAGGAGGAGGAGGAGGAGGAGGAGGAGGAGGAGGAGGAGGAGGAGGAGGAGGACAGGAGGAGGAGGAGGAGGAGGAGGAGGAGGGAGGAGGAGGAGGAGGAGGAGGAGGAGGACAGGAGGTGGAGAAGCAGGAGGAGCAGGAAGGAGGAGGGAGCGTAGACACCAGCAGGGCGCCCTCCCCTGCGTGGGCGGCTGCCGCCCGAGTCGGCACCGACGGCGGCCAGGGGGCGGGCACCTGGAGCGAGAGAGGGTGGGCCGGCATACTGGGAGGAGGAGGAGAGAGGAGGAGGAGGAGGAGGAGGAGGAGGAGGAGGAGGAGGAGGAGGAGGAGGAGGAGGAGGAGGAGGAGGAGGAGGAGGAGGAAGAGGAGGATGAGGAGAAGGAAGAGGAGGAGGAGGAGGAGGAGGAAGTAAACGAGGAGGAGGAGGAGGAGGAGGAGGAAGATGAGGAGGAGGACCAGGGTAATGTGGATGGGGTAATCGGGAAAGGAGGAGGAGGGAGGAGGAGGATGACAGAGGAGGGAAGAGGGGGGAGATGCTTTAGGCCTCCACGGCCGATGACCCAGGTCAGAGGGGGCAAGCTGCTGGCAAGCCGGCAGTAGCTCCGGACCTCTTCGGATGGAGCCCTTTTGCCGCCCTGTCTCGAGACGGCGGGAGGGAGGCAAGAGGCCGACAGTGAGCCTGCTTAGACAAAAGCGGGCGGGGCAGCTCGGCAGGACGTCGGGCGCTGCCCCGAAGAGCGTGGTGCCAGGCCGAGCGCGAGGCGGGCGAGCTGGCCCTCTGCGGCCTCTGCGCTCGCCGAGCTCCAGCATCGGCAGCTGGCTCGGGAGGAGGAGGGACTACAAGGGGAGGTTTTGTGTGTAGTCCTCCACGGACACGAGCAGTGCATATGCTTGCAGTCACACGTACATAGTTAGAGCATCCGGGGGCCGCGAAGGGAATGTACACACGGAAGCCTGGCCCACACGGCCAGCGCAGGGCCGCGCGTTGCAGAGTCATCCAGCCGCATTCATCCAGCCCTCGCCTGGGCTGGCCACGTCATGCGAATCTATCCAGCTTCCTGGCATGGCTGCGCTGACTCGAGCCCAGGGCTGGCGTGCATTGAAAGACACGCCAGCACACCGGGAGGTGCACGGTTTCCCCCGGGGCCGTAGGCGACCCGAGGAGGAGGAGGAGGAGGAGGAGGAGGAGGAGGAGGAGGAGGAGGAGGAGGAGGAGGAGGAGGAGGAAGGGAGGAGGAGGAGGAGGAGGAGGAGGAGGAGGAGGAGGAGGAGGAGGAGGAGGAGGAGGAGGAGGAGGAGGAGGAGGAGGAGGAGGAGGAGGAGGAGGAGGAGGAGGGAGGAGGAGGAGGAGGAGGGAGGAGGAGGAGGAGGAGGAGGAGGAGGGAGGAGGAGAAGGAGGAGGAGGGGGAGGAGGAGGAGGAGGAGGAGGAGGAGGAGGAGGAGGAGGAGGAGGAGGAGGAGGAGGAGGACGGGTCGCCTAAGCCCTGCGGAGAAACCCTCCACCGGGAGGAAGAGGAGCGAGGAGGAGGGGCACGGGCGAGAGGAGGGGCCCCCGCCACCGAGGAGGCCCCCGCTCCCGCCGCTCTGGGGACCGTGGGCAGCGGGGCCACTCGGTGGCCTCGTCGTCGGGGGCGACCTGCTCCACGGAGGTGCTACGGGCAAGAGGCGAGGCGAGGCGAGGCGAGCGGCATGCAGAGAGTCCGCGCCCGTGGAGGGCTGCCGGTACATTGCCCACTTCTCACACGCTGCACACGGAGGTGCTACGGGCAAGAGGGGGAGGCGGAATCCAAGGAGCAGAAGCCCGGAGCTCCGGCGGAGGTTGCTTGCCAGCGCCGGCGCTTCTCCCCAGGCTCGGCCTTCGGCCCCCGGGGGCGGCCGTCCCCCCGCAGGCGAGCCAGGGCGAGCCAGGGCAAGGGGCCGCGAGGTCCCATGGCCGCGCTTGGAGAAGGACGAGAAGCTTAGAGCCGTGGCTCGAGCCCAGGATCGAATCGATAAGACGGATCGGCGATCGCCATGAATCGGATCGGCAGAAATCGGCAGCCGAGTCGGGAAAAGTCGAATCGGCGGAAATCGGCAGGCTGGCAAGCCTCCATTAAGACATCGGAACCCACATCGGAATCCCAAGTCGAATCGAATCGGAATCGGAGGCCATCGAAATCGAATCGAATCGAATCGGAGGAATCGAAATGAGCCCTGCGAGGGCGATATGCGGAAGAGGCGTGAGTGCCCCCCGTGAGCGATAATCGGAAGAGGCGTGAGCGGGACGAGCGTGTCCTCGCCTGTATGTGCAGCAGCGGCGGCGGCAGGGAGGCGGAGGGCGGCGGCAAGGGCGGGGCCTCCGCGCCGTGCTGAGACGATGCGGAGGAGGAGGAAGAGCAGGAAGAGGAGGACGAGGAGGAGGAGGAGGAGGAGGAGGAGGAGGAGGAGGAGAAAGAGGAAGACGAGGAGGAGGAGGAGGAGAAAGACACGGGAGGATGAGGATGGAGACGGGTGGATGAGGGAAAGACGGGGGAGGAGGAGGAAGAGGAGGAGGCGGAGGAGGAGGAGGAGCAGGAGGAGGACGAGTTGAGGAATGCTGGACGCACGATTAGGACGATTTCTAAGGAAGGAGGGCGTTAAACAGCAAAAGGAGGGAAAGAGCGTTGGCTGACCTCAAAGCTTTGCAGTTAGCCGTGAATGTCTTCTTCCAAGCCACTGCCTGCCAGACCCCCCAGCGTCTTGTTTGTTCCTGGAAACCGTTCCCCCTCACCT